AATTAATGCACGGGCATAATATGACTTTGAGACCCCCCCCCCCACCTCCTACGCATTCCACAAGTAGTGACTAATCCGATATCTGCATTTTCCATAAATACGCTAAATTTCTCTTGATATGCAAATTCCTTTGTCAAGGCGCTCTTCCCCCTCCAACCCAGCTTAAATATACGCTCCAAGCCTGGTGGTGTTCATTCAGACGCTGCCTTTCCGACCGACCTGTTCTTCACCTGAGGACGGCTGCTTGCATTGTGGCCGAAACGTCGTGATAATTATTTTATTATGTTTTATTTTTATTATTTTATCATTTCCCTTCTACGTGACTTTACCGAAAGAACCAAGAAGACCAATTGATGTCGTTAAGATGGCTTCTTCCGTATATCGAGTCAAATTCACAACCGTGATCGCGTGAGGATATATTGATGCAGGTTACGTGTAAATGACACGCCCAACCGCGCAGTGTCACACAAGTACTACGTGGTTTCTTTACGAGTGACACCCAACTCGGGGTACAGAGAGTTGGGACACGAGCGGGCTCTTCTAATTACGCATTCACCATCCAGAGGTCGCGGCGAGGCCACTCGAATGTCTACGCCAGGCCAGCAACCAGAGGGAGAGGGAGAGAGCCAGCAGCCTCACTCGCCACGGTGACCCCCAGGCACCGAAGACGACCAAAGCACTCTCACAGCCCAGCTGTGAACCCAACCCAGCTGTGAGCCCAGCCCAGCTGTGAGAGAGTGAACCCAGCCCAGCTGTGAACCCAGCCCAGCTGTGAGAGAGTGAACCCAGCCCAGCTGTGAGCCCAGCCCAGCTGTGAGAGAGTGAACCCAGCCCAGCTGTGAACCCAGCCCAGCTGTGAGAGTGAACCCAGCCCAGCTGTGAGAGAGTGAACCCAGCCCAGCTGTGAGAGTGTGAACCCAGCCCAGCTGTGAGCCCAGCCCAGCTGTGAGAGAGTGAACCCAGCCCAGCTGTGAACCCAGCCCAGCTGTGAGAGAGTGAACCCAGCCCAGCTGTGAGAGAGTGAACCCAGCCCAGCTGTGAACCCAGCCCAGCTGTGAGTGAACCCAGCCCAGCTGTGAGCCCAGCCCAGCTGTGAGAGAGTGAACCCAGCCCAGCTGTGAACCCAGCCCAGCTGTGAGCCCATCCCAGCTGTGAGAGAGTGAACCCAGCCCAGCTGTGAGCCCAGCCCAGCTGTGAGAGTGTGAACCCAGCTCAGCTGTGAACCCAGCCCAGCTGTGAGAGAGTGAACCCAGCCCAGCTGTGAACCCAGCCCAGCTGTGAGAGTGAAGCCAGCCCAGCTGTGAGAGAGTGAACCCAGCCCAGCTGTGAGAGAGTGAACCCAGCCCAGCTGTGAACCCAGCCCAGCTGTGAGAGAGTGAACCCAGCCCAGCTGTGAACCCAGCCCAGCTGTGAGAGTGAACCCAGCCCAGCTGTGAGTGTGAACCCAGCCCAGCTGTGAGAGTGTGAACCCAGCCCAGCTGTGAGAGAGTGAACCCAGCCCAGCTGTGAACCCAGCCCAGCTGTGAGAGTGAACCCAGCCCAGCTGTGAGAGAGTGAACCCAGCCCAGCTGTGAGAGAGTGAACCCAGCCCAGCTGTGAGAGTGTGAATCCAGCCCAGCTATGAACCCAGCCCAGCTGTGAGAGTGAACCCAGCCCAGCTGTGAGAGTGTGAATCCAGCCCAGCTGTGAACCCAGCCCAGCTGTGAGAGTGAACCCAGCCCAGCTGTGAGAGTGTGAATCCAGCCCAGCTATGAACCCAGCCCAGCTGTGAGAGTGAACCCAGCCCAGCTGTGAGAGTGTGAACCCAGCCCAGCTGTGAACCCAGCCCAGCTGTGAGAGAGTGAACCCAGCCCAGCTGTGAGAGTGTGAATCCAGCCCAGCTGTGAACCCAGCCCAGCTGTGAGAGTGAGCCCAGCCCAGCTGTGAACCCAGCCCAGCTGTGAGAGTGAGCCCAGCCCAGCTGTGAGAGTGTGAACCCAACCCAGCTGTGAGCCCAGCCCAGCTGTGAGAGAGTGAACCCAGCCCAGCTGTGAACTCAGCCCAGCTGTGAGAGTGAACCCAGCCCATCTGTGAGAGAGTGAACCCAGCCCAGCTGTGAGAGTGTGAACCCAGCCCAGCTGTGAGCCCAGCCCAGCTGTGAGAGAGTGAACCCAGCCCAGCTGTGAACCCAGCCCAGCTGTGAGAGAGTGAACCCAGCCCAGCTGTGAACACAGCCGAGCTGTGAGTGAACCCAGCCCAGCTGTGAGCCCAGCCCAGCTGTGAGAGAGTGAACCCAGCCCAGCTGTGAACCCAGCCCAGCTGTGAGAGTGAACCCAGCCCAGCTGTGAACCCAGCCGAGCTGTGAGTGAACCCAGCCCAGCTGTGAGCCCAGCCCAGCTGTGAGAGTGTGAACCCAGCCCAGCTGTGAACCCAGCCCAGCTGTGAGAGAGTGAACCCAGCCCAGCTGTGAACCCAGCCCAGCTGTGAGAGTGAAGCCAGCCCAGCTGTGAGAGAGTGAACCCAGCCCAGCTGTGAGAGAGTGAACCCAGCCCAGCTGTGAACCCAGCCCAGCTGTGAGAGAGTGAACCCAGCCCAGCTGTGAACCCAGCCCAGCTGTGAGAGAGTGAACCCAGCCCAGCTGTGAACCCAGCCCAGCTGTGAGAGTGAACCCAGCCCAGCTGTGAGAGTGAACCCAGCCCAGCTGTGAGTGTGAACCCAGCCCAGCTGTGAGAGTGTGAACCCAGCCCAGCTGTGAGAGAGTGGAACCCAGCCCAGCTGTGAACCCAGGCCCAGCTGTGAGAGTGACCCAGCCCAGCTGTGAGAGTGGTGAACCCAGCCCAGCCTGTGAAACCATCCCAGCTGTGAGAGAGTTGAACCGCAGCCAGCTGTGAGAGTGTGAATCCATCCCATCTGTGAACCCAGCCCAGCTGTGAGAGTGAGCCCAGCCCAGTTGTGAACCCAGCCCAGCTGTGAGAGTGAGCCCAGCTGTGAGAGTGAACCCAGCCCAGCTGTGAGAGTGTGAACCCAGCCCAGCTGTGAACCCAGCCCAGCTGTGAGAGAGTGAACCCAGCCCAGCCGTGTTCATGGTTCGACTCTCCCCCCCCCGTGCCCCCCCCCCCCATGGCCGCTCCGTGACCCTCCCCCTGCGGAGCAAAGGGCGACGTTGCCACATCGCGTGCTTCCCCCCGCACCATCACGCGCCTCTCCCCGCACCATCACGCGCCGCTGCTGCCGCCGCTGCTGCTGCTGCTGCCGGGTCGTTTGACGTGGGGGGGGGCCGTGGGCGCGAGTCGGGGGGGGCGGGGGGGGCGTGGGCACGAGTCGGGGGGGCGGCGGGTGGGGGCAACCTGCGGCTCCCTCGAAAGGGACTGCTGCGTTCGTGACCGTGAACTTATCCAGCACCGCGGCCTCGTTATAATTCACGTGCAATAGGCGGCTCTTGGAATATTGAGTTGTGTGGAGGGTTTTTTTTTAAACAGAATTCCTGTTGCTTTGGTTGCCGAGCCCTGTTGTAGGCTGTGTGTGTGTAGGCTGTGTGTGTGTGGGGGCTGTGTGTGTGTGTAGGCTGGGTGTTTGAATTTTGGCCAAATTATCCGCAGCGTGCCCCATCTTTGTCGCATCCCAGAAGTGCTGGGATGTTGGACGATTGCCATGCGCATCGCAGACGTCCACAGGCGCTACGCGGCTCGCAGCAGAGGGCAGTGCGGCTACATCCACTGTTGTACTGCACTCCTGTGCTGCCTCCCCCATGCTTAATGCCTGCGACAACCCGCACTGACCAGCGTGGTGAAGTATGTTCGAATAAACCCACCGTGATCTGTCTGGCGTGGGGAGACCCTGGTTCAGCAGTGGATTGAAGAATGAGCCGTGCACGGACACGGACACACAAACGTGGCGACGTACGTGGGCCGTTAATGAAAGATACACTTGACAATCGACTGCTCGACAAATGCCTCCCCCACGCTTCACCACGCTGGCCGATGTGGGTGGGTGGCGATGGTGGCGGCGGTGCCCGGGGCTGGTTCAGATGCGATGTTGGCCGCTGATATGAGCCGTGGTCCTGGAGTCAGATGACTGTGTTCAGAGCCCACTGCGTTCCTAGCCCGTGAATGCAGTGGCAGCAACTTCTGTGCGTTCTCCGTTCGCTGCCACGGCGAGCTCCCACGTGACACACTGCTTCATGCAGATGACACATTTAACCTCTGCGTTATGTGGTGAGATGTTAACCCTGACTCCTGCTGTATATTTGAAGTTTGCTTGTCTCTCTCCCCGTGGGTACGTGGATTATTCCTTGGATCCTCTGGATTTTTCCTCCACGTTTAGAATCAACGTGCGTTTTAGAGTAATTTGGTTGCGATCAATTCCCACATGATAGGCCAATTTGTTAAGCTGTCATTTGTGGCCAGATTGCTTCTGAAAAAGAGCTACATAGCTCAGTGGACCTTTCCTGGTAAAATAAATATAGTAGAGTTTAGTTGATGCGCGTGTTTATGTGACCGTTCGAATGAAAATCGTTTTAATTAACTAGTTTTAGTTTGTTGATCTTCTTTCGCACCGTACGTAGTCAACTGTGCTAATCGGGGGTGTGGGGGAAGGGACAACAACCCGACACCGCCGCTCCACTCTGTGCAGACTGCCGCGTGGATATCTGCGTCGCACGCGTTTACACGTGTGAACTGTGCACGGTCATCAGCCACCACCATCGTCACTACCACCACAAGCTATGGTCATTCCACTGCTGGATGGAGGCCTCCTTCCCAAGCCGCCGCCGCCACCTCTCGCGGTCCCACGACGTGACGATCCACCCGGCGTCCGCTTCGCGCAAAACCGATTTCGCAATCCGTCTCCTCGCTGGACGAGAACCCCTTTGGACGCGTTCCATCCCTTGTCCGCCACTCCGTTATTATTCCACACCATCGGCCACCATCGCCGCTATTGGCCACGACGCTGCCCAGGCCCCACTCGGCAGTGTGCACGTCCGTCACTAACCCGCGCCCGCGTGTGTGTTTCTGCGTACGTAGGAGGGACGTGACCGCGTGCGGGGGTTGGCGGGACGCGTGAGGACCGGAGCGCTCGCGGAATCGTCGTGGGCTACTCGGCGGCACCACACAAGACCCCCGTGGCGGCCCACAGCCGCCTCCGTACAGCGCGGCCTCCCTACGTATTGCAGCAGCATCGTCGTCGTCGTCGTGGTGCCGTTGTTGTTGTGTTGTTTGTGTTTTCAGTCGATCTATTTCACCAGGGCAGATGTCCCACAAGCCGGAGGCCGCAAGGCAAACACAGGCTGCGAAATGGCTACACTTGGGCCCCATCAGATAAACTAAACTATGACTTAACAATTCTTAGTTTCTTACCAGGTAAGGCCCACTGAGATATGTAGCTCGTCTTTCGGAAGAGACCTGGCCACAAGTGATAACGAAGTGGCTTATCGCGTTGAAATTTATAGCGGGAGCCAAAAACTCTAAGCGCACATTTATAAATGTGGGGGGACAAACCGGAGGACCCGGAGAAAAATCCACGCGACCACGGAGAGAAAGAGACCGCAAACTCCAAATATACAGCAGCGGGCGTCAGGGTCGTTCACGATTCAACGTAGGTTTGTGTAACCAGGTGGCGAGAACTCGATAAGAGTACAGGACAGGAGTGACCTGTTTTTCTTGTCTAAACATCAAACTGCATCGTGCACTTTCAGATGCGTTTCTGAGGCCGTCTGGAATGCTCTTCCGATATTAGGAAGCCACTGGAGCTGTCCACTTTTATATCCAGATTGAACTCATTGCTGTAGAACTGCTTTTTGTGTTTATCTGGTTGTACTTTCCCCACACCTCAGATTAGCACGTTTGGCTACGTACGGTGTGAAAGAAGTTCGACATGCGTACAGCCCTGGGTCACCAAACGTTACGGCGGCAAAACAAAGCAGAGCAATGCGGCAAAAAGAAATTGGAGTGGAAACAACGGTGTCACCGTGGGAAATCGACAACATTGCAAGAAACATAAATCTGCGATAAATCGAAGTTGAACATTGAATTATATAGCGGTGCAAGTCGGCTGGGGTAGATTAGTTACAAAATTTATTGACATAAACATTAACGTTAAACAGATACTGTATACGCTGACTTTTTCACTAATATGCAAATAGGCAAGGATATACGAGTCGAATGCAAACACGATTGCATGACTAAGCAGTGCGAACCATGTTTACAATTTGCCTCTGAAAAGAATGTAAGAATGTATTTGGTGGGGGGATGGGTGGGGGGGAGAAGTGGTTGCGGCAGCACAGTGGTTGGCACCGCACGAGGAACCCAGCTCCCCCGAGTTGGACTCCCGGCCGTGGCTATCGCCCAGCGGCGAGCGAACTCTGAGCCGCCCTGGGGCCCTCCACCGCTGTAGCCAACCACCCACACGCCGACACGGGGCCCTCCACCGCTGTAGCCAACCACCCACACGCCGACACGACGGGGCGGCCAAACCGCTCGCGGTCACAAAAACCTCGGCGTGCAGAGAGGCCTTCGTCCGGCAATGGATCGATCGTGGCCGCCGATCGTTGAAAGGACGAGCGAACGAGGCGAGGTGGTGGCACACACCGCGGGCTGGCGGAGAGCGCTCGACACGTGTTGGGCAGTAAGTCTGCCCTGGAGGGCAGACTTACTGCCCAACAGTATTGGGTGGCGTTGCAGGTGGAAGCAACCCTCGGGCATAGCGGCGAGAACTCGGTCATGTCATGTTCATTTTTGTTGTTCGTGTTCAAAATCTTCAGGAACACGATGAGCTGTGAAGCTTTTTTCGTTTGTGCAGGTGTCCAGTCGGTGTTGGTGACTGATGGCTCGTGTTTCCCGATTGATGGTGGTAGTGGTGATGGTGGTAGTGGTGATGGTGGTAGTGGTGTTGGTGGCGGTAATGGTGGTTCATGGACAACCACCTCTGTCTTGGTTAGTGGAGTGGGGGTGTCCCCCCCCCCACGCCGCCTGCCTGCCCCCCTCGACAGCAACGCAGTAGCTGCTGCTGGGACCGGCCCCCCCAATTCCCTCTGGACCCCCCAAACCAGTGCCCCCCCCCCCCCCCGCCCAGCGCTCTCTGGCCGTGCTACACGCGCTCTCCACCGGCAGGTCTTTACGTCGCTTCTCTCGAGAGCCTAAAGCTGCCAGTTGAAGAGCTGAGGTCGCCGGCCTCTCTCTGCACGCGGGGTGGGTGGGGGGTGGTGAAGACGACGACGACGACGAGGAGTGCGGTGGATACAAGATCGATGTCGCGATGTTTGTGTGCGTCGGTGTCATTTTGTTCGTTTACCCCGGCAAAGCCAGAGGCTCGAGACGTGTTGGGCAGGGGGGGGGGGTCCTGCCATGCGTTGGCAGTAGGAGGGGGGGTGATGGGCGATGCTGCTGTAGTTGGTGTGTGATCCCCGTGGAGTTGATCTGCAGGCGACTGTTCAGCATCGGGGTGTCTTAGCCAATGCAAAGTGACGTTACATGGAGGAAACGCATGCAGATCAGGGGGAGTACATACAGACAACACACAACATACACACTACACACAGAACATACAGACAACACACAACACACACACCACACACAACATACAGACAACACACACACCACACACAACATACAGACAACACACAGAACACACAACACCACGACATACAACACACAACATACAACATACAGAACATACACACAACATACAGAACATACACACAACATACACACAACACACAACATACAGACAACACACAGAACATACACAACATACACACAACATACACACAACACACAACATACAGACAACACACAGACAACACACAGAGAGGCACCCGAGTCGGGAAGCGACCGGGCGTCACCACTGGACCACGCCGCGCGCCCGGCCGCCTTTGTATCCCCAGTGCCGATGTTCACCCACGCACCAGGACCTAGCGGGGAGGGGTGGCTTCGGACCAGCTCAGATTTGACGCGTGGCCTGGAAGCAAACCCGGATCGCCGGGTGTGTGGAGAGGTGTGCACACAAAGACAAAGACCCCTCCTATAGCCTCTAACAGACTGTTGGGGCAAGTGCTGTTCACGAGCAGCGCCTATGAAGGCCGGCACTGCGGCACACGAGGGAGTGGTGGGTGGCCAGCACCACGCCCGGCAGCCTTTGCCTTCCCCAATGCCGATGTTTACACAACGCACTCATTTGAGGCTGAGTCGACCTAGGGAAGGAACAGAACCGGTTCAGATAATCGTTACCACTGGCGTTGGTGGCGGTGAGCTGGAATCGAACTTCGGATGGTCGGGTTCGCAGCGCAGCGCTAACCGCTACACTACCGCACCCCAGACACACGCACGCACACGTGTGCGCAATACTGTAGTTGTACCGAGTTTAATTGCTGTATTACCACTGAAAGTTCGCGTTCAAACAATGACGTTATTGAATATGTATTGCAGGTTGCTTAAGCGGCTGAGTGTAAAGTTGTGAAACAATACGAACGTGTGTATTACATTACGTATAGTGGTGATTATGAAGCGTATGCAAATGTTATGTTAGCGCTCACCTGTGATATTGTGATGTTAATGCTCCGTCGTTGTACAATTTGTCTGTGCGTGGGTCCCAGGTCTCCCTTGCCCGAGAGGGACTTGCGGCCTCATGGGGACTCGTGATAAATAAATAAATACCGCCCCCACTATTCGTGTTTTGCCAATCCACTGCTGCACGAACACCGTCAGTCGCATCGTGTTGCTCGTGGGGTGGAGTGTGTGGCCATACTTCACCGCGCTGGTCGGTGCAGATGTTAACAACCTCGCCTGGTGTGCAGGAGGTCGTGGGCTCGTTCCCGACCCTGACGCCTGCTGTACGATTGGAGTCTGCGCGTCTCTTTCTCTCTCTCCCCGTGGTCGTGTGGATTTCTCTCTCCGGGCCCTTCGGGTTTCCCCTCCACGTTGAGAATCAACATCACCACGCGTGTAGAGGTTTTGGCTGCTGCTTTACATTCACACGCGATGATGAGACGCCTCTTCGCTGAGCTATCAATTGCGAGGCCAATGTCGCTGCTGAAAAAGAGATACCCCACTAAGTGGGGCCTTACCTGGTAATATACAAAAAAAAACATAAATCGTTTGATAGTTTTATAGATTCGTGAAGCAGGGGACACAGGAAGCGATTGACCAGAAGTGAGGAGCACCCTCCCTGTAGCTGCCTCGTCTGCCAATCAAACTCTCGAACGCGGTGCAGTGCTAACCACTGCGCCACCGCTCCCCACCGAGTCGGAGGCAGCGCGTGAGAAGGATGCGAATTGTCGACTCGCTCCATCACCATCGATCCACTGCTGGATGGAGGCCTCGTCCCCGAAGCCGCCACCACCACGTCTCACGACCGTGCGATGTGATTACTAAATTACACACGATACACTCTTCACTATCGATGAGAGCCACGCTGAGTCGTGTGACTCTTCTTTTCCCAGGAGGGTCCTGCCGCTGCATTGGGGTTTTTAAAATTTCAAATGTTTCGAGGCAATGACTGATGAGTTGTGTTTATTATTCACGTGGGGAGGAGACCGGAGCGCCTGGAGAAACCCCCACGCCTTGCGCCAGGGAGCGACGTTCTATCCCCGTACAGACGGAAACAGGTGGCGATTAGTCCACGCGCTGCTGTGCTGCCTTCTCGTGGCGAGCCAGGCCGGGCGCGGCACCTCCTCGACGCCCTCCCACGGCCGGTAGAAGGGAAGTTTCACACCATCTGTGCGCGATCCACCTACCCCTCGCCGCTGTTGCCTCCACGGTGCTGGGTGACAGGCCACGTGCAGCAGCGGCGTGGCGGCCAACACTGCCATCACCGCCACCTCCGCCGCCACCACCACCGCCACCAACACCGCCACCACCACCGCCACCAACACCGCCACCACCGCCACCGCCGCCACTACCACTGCCACCACCGCCACCACCACCGCCGCCACCACCACCGACACCACCACCGCCACTACCACCGCCACCACCACCGCCACCACCACCGCCGCCACCACCACTGCCACCACCACCGCCACCACCACCGCCGCCACTACCACCGCCACCACCACCGCCGCCGCCACCGCCACCGCCACCGCCGCTGCCCGGCTGCCCACGAGCCCCAGCCCCGAGAAGGCATCGGGCGAGCGACTTCGCTGTGTAACAAAATAAAATGTTCCTGGGTAGTGAGTGGTATTTCCTAATTGCTTATGCCTCAAAAGTACAGAAAATGGCTATTATTACCCACAAACTTTGCTTTTGTGACGAGGACAGTGATATTTTTAAATGTACCTATGTTCAATGAGAAAACGTGGTGTGCATTTGTGTCTTTCTTTCACGTAAAGTCCTGGTCACAAAAGCAAAGTTTGTGGGGAATAATAGCCATTTTCTGTACTCTTTAGGCATAAGCAATAAATAAAATAACACGTATGAGTACCCAGGAACAAACATCGTGTTACATCGTGAAGTTAGCGCTTCGGCCCCTGCATATCAGGGGAATGGACGCCCGTGGTTACAGGAGACGAGGGGCGTCAAACATTCACACGCCCCCCCCGCCCCCCAAGGGATTCATCTCTCACTGAATAGTTTCCAGGTCGCGGGGAGACTGTAGACTGGAGTAGGTGGCACGTGAGCAGTAGCCACAGTCCTAGCCAGGATATATACTGGATGTGGTGTGCGGGCGGGTTGATGACGAGGACAGCCCCCCACGGACGAGGGGAATCTCCGCACGCGGCCTCCTCGCCATCAGAGCCGGCCCGTGGCTGGCGGGGCCGTAGTGGCTGGCGGGGCTGGAGTGGCTGGCGGGGCCGTAGTGGCTGGCGGGGCTGGAGTGGCTGGCGGGGCCGTAGTGGCTGGCGGGGCTGGAGTGGCTGGCGGGGCTGGAGTGGTTGGCGGGGCTGGAGTGGCTGGCGGGGCTGGAGTGGCTGGCGGGGCCGTAGTGGCTGGCGGGGCTGGAGTGGCTGGCGGGGCCGTAGTGGCTGGCGGGGCTGGAGTGGCTGGCGGGGCTGGAGTGGCTGGCGGGGCTGGAGTGGCTGGCGGGGCCGGAGTGGCTGGCGGGGCTGTAGTGGCTGGCGGGGCTGGAGTGGCTGGCGGGGCCGGATCGGCTGGCGGGGCTGTAGTGGCTGGCGGGGCTGGAGTGGCTGGCGGGGCCGGAGTGGCTGGCGGGGCTGGAGTGGCTGGCGGGGCTGTAGTGGCTGGCGGGGCTGGAGTGGCTGGCGGGGCTGTAGTGGCTGGCGGGGCTGGAGTGGCTGGCGGGGCTGTAGTGGCTGGCGGGGCTGGAGTGGCTGGCGGGGCCGGAGTGGCTGGCGGGGCCGGAGTGGCTGGCGGGGTTATAGTGGCTGGCGGGGTTGGAGTGGCTGGCGGGGCTGTAGTGGCTGGCGGGCTGGAGTGGCTGCGGGGCTGTAGTGGCTGACGGGGCTGGAGTGGCTGGCGGGGCTGGAGTGGCTGGCAGGGCTGTAGTGGCTGGCGGGGCTGGAGTGGCTGGCGGGGCTGTAGTGGCTGGCGGGGCTGGAGTGGCTGGCGGGGCCGTAGTGGCTGGCGGGGCTGGAGTGGCTGGCGGGGCCGGAGTGGCTGGCGGGGCCGTAGTGGCTGGCGGGGCCGTAGTGGCTGGCGGGGCCGTAGTGGCTGGCAGTGGCTGGAGTGGCTGCGGGGCTGTAGTGGCTGGCGGGGCGAGGAGTGGCTGGCGGGCCGTAGTGGCTGGCGGGGCTGTAGTGGCTGGCGGGGCGGGAGTGGCTGGCGGGGCGGGAGTGGCTGGCGGGGGGGGAGTGGCTGGCTGGGCTGTATGTGCTGGCGGGGCTGTAGTGGCTGGCGGGGCTGGAGTGGCTGGCGGGGGCGGGAGTGGCTGGCGGGGCCGTAGTGGCTGGCGGGGCTGTAGTGGCTGGCAGGGCTGGAGTGGCTGGCGGGGCTGGAGTGGCTGGCGGAGCTGTAGTGGCTGCGGGGCTGGAGTGGCTGGCGGGGCTGTAGTGGCTGGCGGGGCTGTAGTGGCTGGCGGGGCGTAGTGGCTGGCGGGGCTGTAGTGGCTGGCGGGGCTGTAGTTGGCTGGCGGGGCTGGAGTGGCTGGCGGGGCTGGAGTGGCTGGCGGGGCTGGAGTGGCTGGCGGGGCTGGAGTGGCTGGCGGGGCTGTAGTGGCTGGCGGGGCTGTAGTGGCTGGCGGGGCCGGAGTGGCTGGCGGGGCCGGAGTGGCTGGCGGGGCCGTAGTGGCTGGCGGGGCCGTAGTGGCTGGCGGGGCCGTAGTGGCTGGCGGGGCTGTAGTGGCTGGCGGGGCCGTAGTGGCTGGCGGGGCCGTAGTGGCTGGCGGGGCCATAGTGGCTGGCGGGGCTGTAGTGGCTGGCAGGGCCAGAGTGGCTGGCGGGGCCATAGTGGCTGGCGGGGCCGTAGTGGCTGGCGGGGCCGTAGTGGCTGGCGGGGCCGTAGTGGCTGGCGGGGCTGTAGTAGCTGGCGGGGCTGGAGTGGCTGGCGGGGCCGTAGTGGCTGGCGGGGCTGGAGTGGCTGGCGGGGCCGTAGTGGCTGGCGGGGCTGTAGTGGCTGGCAGGGCTGGAGTGGCTGGCGGGGCTGGAGTGGCTGGCGGGGCTGTAGTGGCTGGCGGGGCTGGAGTGGCTGGCGGGGCTGTAGTGGCTGGCGGGGCTGTAGTGGCTGGCGGGGCCGTAGTGGCTGGCGGGGCTGTAGTGGCTGGCGGGGCTGTAGTGGCTGGCGGGGCTGGAGTGGCTGGCGGGGCTGGAGTGGCTGGCGGGGCTGGAGTGGCTGGCGGGGCTGGAGTGGCTGGCGGGGCTGTAGTGGCTGGCGGGGCTGTAGTGGCTGGCGGGGCTGGAGTGGCTGGCGGGGCCGGAGTGGCTGGCGGGGCCGTAGTGGCTGGCGGGGCCGTAGTGGCTGGCGGGGCCGTAGTGGCTGGCGGGGCCGTAGTGGCTGGCGGGGCCGTAGTGGCTGGCGGGGCCGTAGTGGCTGGCGGGGCCGTAGTGGCTGGCGGGGCCGTAGTGGCTGGCGGGGCTGTAGTGGCTGGCGGGGCTGGAGTGGCTGGCGGGGCTGGAGTGGCTGGCGGGGGCCGTAGTGGCTGGCGGGGCTGGAGTGGCTGGCGGGGCCGTAGTGGCTGGCGGGGCTGGAATGGCTGGCGGGGCCGTAGTGGCTGGCGGGGCCGTAGTGGCTGGCGGGGCCATAGTGGCTGGCGGGGCTGTAGTGGCTGGCAGGGCCAGAGTGGCTGGCGGGGCCATAGTGGCTGGCGGGGCCGTAGTGGCTGGCGGGGCCGTAGTGGCTGGCGGGGCCGTAGTGGCTGGCAGGGCTGTAGTGGCTGGCGGGCTGGAGTGGCTGGCGGGGCCGTATGGCTGGCGGGGCTGGAGTGGCTGGCAGGGGCGGGAGTGGCTGGCGGGGCTGTAGTGGCTGGCGGGGCTGGATGGCTGGGGGGGCCGTAGTGGCTGGCGGGCCGTAGTGGCTGGCGGGGCCGTAGTGGCTGGCGGGGCCGTAGTGGCTGCGGGGCCGTAGTGGCTGGCGGGGCCGTAGTGGCTGGCGGGGCTGGAGTGGCTGGCGGGGCTGTAGTGGCTGGCGGGCTGAGTGGCTGGCGGGGCTGGAGTGGCTGGCGGGGCTGTAGTGGCTGGCGGGGCTGGAGTGGCTGGCGGGGCCGTAGTGGCTGGCGGGGCCGTAGTGGCTGGCGGGGCGGGAGTGGCTGGCGGGGCGGGAGTGGCTGGCGGGGCTGGAG